AAGTCCGCATGGAGTTTGCTAAAAAACACCTGAAGGACTCCAAGATGGTGAGAAATAAGATTCTCTGGTCTGATGAGACCAAGATAGAACTTTTTGGCCTTAATTCTAAGCGGTATGTGTGGAGAAAACCAGGCACTGCTCATCACCTGTCCAATACAGTCCCAACAGTGAAGCATGGTGGTGGCAGCCTCATGCTATGGGGGTGTTTTTCAGCTGCAGGGACCGGACGACTGGTTGCAATCGAGGGAAGGGTGAATGCGGCCAAGTACAGGGATATCCTGGACGAAAACCTTCTCCAGAGTGCTCAGGACCTCAGACTGGGCCGAAGGTTCACCTTCCAACAAGACAATGACCCTAAGCACACAGCTAAAATAACGAAGGAGTGGCTTCCCAACAACTCCGTGACTGTTCTTGAATGGCCCAGCCAGAGCCCTGACTTAAACCCCATTGAGCATCTCTGGAGAGACCTGAAAATGGCTGTCCACCAACGTTTACCATCCAACCTGACAGCACTGGAGAGGATCTGCAAGGAGGAATGGCAGAGGATCCCCAAATGCAGGTGTGAAAACTTGTTGCATCATTCCCAAAAAGACTCATGGCTGTATTAGCTCAAAGGGGTGCTTCTACTAAATACTGAGCAAAGGGTCTGAATACTTATGACCATGTGATATTTCAGTTTTTCTTTTTTAATAAATCTGCAAAAATGTCAAAAATTCTGTGTTTTTCTGTCAATATGGGGTGCTGTGTGTACATTAATGAGGAAAAAAATGAACTTAAATGATTTTAGCATATGGCTGCAATATAACAAAGAGTGAAAAATTTAAGGGGGTCTGAATACTTTCCGTACCCACTGTACATTAATGGTTCTAAGCACTCAGAATTTTTTTTTTTCCCCATTCAGCAAGATCTCATTCAAAAACATATATTATTATAGCAGTCTGTAAGTCACACACTACTGATGCTGCCAAACAACAACACTCAAGTCTTCCCCTATTCACTCCTGATTTTCTTGCGATCACATAATGACCATTCTTCATTATCGATGGATAGCAAACAGTGATAGTAAAGCCCAAGGCGTGGAATCGAAGGCTGTGTTCTTGTGGGCTGTGGCGTGATTTATACCCAGTCAGTATTTATATACAGTATGTAGGTGCATGTGTGTCTGTGTTGCCTCTAGACCCACCAGTTTCTCAGTGAAGAATGAAGGGCCAGGACGTCATCAGTTCCCATATTGATTTTCCTGCTCACATGCTTAATTGAAGTTGTTGGGGTATACATAATTGAAGTTGGTCCTCTCAATCACTCACCCTCCTTTTTTCCCCTCAAACATTGAGAGAAAAGACATACCTTTTCCTGCTCACCATCCTTTTCTCATTTCTTTTCAAGAGACAAGTGTTAATGGGGAGGCCTGTGGCTACGTGGTTTTGATGGAGTGGTAGGGTTTTATGTGCGAGTCTGTAGCGTGAACATGGCCTGTGTGTGTACTTTCTGAACACTGAAAAGAAGAGTCGTGGTTATGATGAAGGGTGTGATGTTTATCTCAAAAATACAGTTTCTAGTACTTTAAAATAATTCGATACTTGTAAAGACAACCAGTATTTTCCCAGATACCAATGTGATGTCTGCATATTGTTCTGTCCAACCAACAGTCTAAAGCCCATCAAATATTTTAGTGAACTAAGAGAACTGAGAGTGAACTGAGAGGCTGCAACCAGAAAATATTTGTTATGCTTGACTGGAAAGGACTAAAATGATTAACAGGTCATTATCTTAACAATAAGACATATTCAATAGCATCTTTCATTCATTTTCATTTTCGAGTCCGAGTCCTGGACTCGAGTACCGCAACACTGCTATACAGACATGATAAAGTCTCATATACTATATACAGTTAATAACAGTGCATGACAGCCATTGAGATATGAACATCCTTTCTACTGCTGCAGAAAAGAAATCACTCACCTAACATCACCCATCTTATTTTCAAACCCCTCATTTCTCTCACTAATTACTACATGTATGCTGATAATTTGTGGGGAAAAACAGACCCCTGGTCTTCTTTATTTTATTTTAGTGCTGACCTCTTATTGGTCATATTCATTACAGCTGCCAAAATGATTACCAGCCTGGACAGCTGCTGTTGTCATAGCGCTCATTTATTCATTTTTTAACAAGGGCGGTGAAAAATGAGGATCCAAAAACACCATCCAAGGACACACAAATGCTTCATTTATTTTCCTTCACTAAAAGCACCATTAAACAATCAGACACATGAGCTCAATTCTGGCTTTTATTGAATGTTGGCTACTGGCCATCAGTGCCATCCACCTTAGTTACGGAAGTTCCTCTCTGACCACAGCAACATGAAAATTGTCTCTCTGACAATTTTTATTTAACAGCAGTCATAGTGTTTTATGAATTAACTTCTTTCTCAATGAATTTAACCCAGCTACTATACAACACAAACCAGGCTAAGCTAACAAGCTAAATGTTTCTAAAGAAATTACTTTAATGATGTAAACAATCAGTTACACATTTAGTGAACTAATCATTTAAAGCCAGAAGTCTCATGATAGTTTTTAAAAACTACTTTCACTGACTGATTAAATTATGGGATCTTAAAGTGCATGTACTACAGTATTTTTTGACAATTTATAGACTAAATAAATCATTTAAGATCATCAGCTTTAAAAAAAAAAAAAAAAAAAAAAAGAAGGTGAAAACAATCCTAAATTCATAGCCATACATTTTAAAATCTATGGAAATTAGCCTTGAATCTCAGCTATAAACAGGACAAACAAAATGTATGTAGCCCTCAAAAATGTAGCCTTTAAAACATCTGTTGAAAATGTCAGAAAACAACACTGAATGAATGTGTTTGATAATTACTCTACCATCCAGTCAGCACCCTTCAGCAAGTTAAGATTAATTATGTGGGTATGACTAAATAAGGAACAAATCTTCATTGTTTTACTTGTTCTTAAGGGTAAAAAATATGATCAGGAGCAGATTAATTGCTGCACGTGTTAATTTGCTTCCTGCCCCTGAATGCCACATGTCTCCATTGATTAAAATTAGTCCGTGTTCTGTGGCTGCACTTTGTTCCTTTAACAGGGTAATTGATGGGCTGTCTTGTCCTCCGTCCTCGGTTTCTTTTCATCCTACCTTTCTGTTTTTCTCTTTCCTTCTCTCCTAAGCGCTCCTGTTTGCCAGTAGCCTAGCTCCTAAATCATGCTGTTTGCAAGCTGTCTCCGCAGGCAAGAGTGTTGTGTGCATGTGTGTGTGGATGTGTGGATGCACACGTACTATTCATTTCACACACTAACATTACTGCCTGTCAGTATTTTGGTTTGGTTTATTAATCCTGACTGTTATATAGGTCAATATAACATGTTACAAATAAGAGAATAATAAGGTGCAGGTTTTCTCTGGAGAACTTCCGCAGCCTTACTCGCTTTCTGATTGATCTAAACATGTTCTGCAATTTCATTGCCTAGAGGACATCAGCGCCTGCCATTTTTGTCACATGTGCCCTTTTCAGATTTAAACACCAGCACCATAGACGCATCACTAACACAGATTAATTTAGAAACTAGGAGCTGAAAGAAGGTTAGAATTGGGGTGAGAGGTGTTTCTCCTGCATTGCAACCAACTGTTAAAATCTGTGTTCTCACCTTGGTAAGGTAAAAGTTCAAGCTAAGGTTAAAGCACCTACAATCGATACTTTATCTGCCGGCAGTGAGAAAAAAAATGCAACAATGTGAAAGGGGATGCTTGCACTGATGAACCTTTAGAGACTCATCACCCAAATCTGCAGGTCTGTTCAGCTGTATAGTAAGAGTCAGCTCATTAAGCTGTCCACCT